CAATAGGTAGGCGTGCTCATGCAATTGAAGCTTGGGCGACCTATTGTCAGGGAGTACTGAATCCTCTATATCTATAGTAGTTGTAGGATGATGTTCTCCACTGGCGCCTGCGCGTCACCTCAGACAAGAAGGTGGCTCCGGTAAATTATCAGTACGCAACACCACGGGTCTTTTATACTGGCTCGTCACTCTCAACGAGGCCTACTTGGTCGTAGTCCTGCTGTTGAGAGTGTGTGGCCGTCCTTCTCAATGTTGTCACCATCGTTATCTCGAGGGTTATTCAAGACCCTCGAAGGGAATGGCCACCGATAAGAAGGTTCTTCCTGCGATGACTAGAAGAGGTATACACCATTCATTTTCATGCGTTATAGAGGCGTTCCGGTCCCCGCCGTCGTTGAGATCCTGCCTGGTCCTTTTTGGAGGTCAGTGGTGACATACCTCCATCGTCTCCCTTTCCTCCTCGTATTCACACCCTCTTTCGAGTGGGTTTGCCGTTATGGGAAGATCCCATACCAGTTAGTGAGGCGCTTGGAATGGGAGTTGCCCAGTTATCTATCGATAGTTGCTACTGCTGATAGTGACCACGCGGTACATCCTTTCCTTGTGCTGTGTATTCTTTCTGATGAGCGTCTCGGTGCACAGCGGTAGACGAGACGTAGTAACCCTTACCTTCATCACTCAACATGGTTCAGCATTCACTCAGCCTCTCTGTGGTGTTGCTAACGGTTTTCTGGTCATAGGATTCTCTCGTTGCGATCACCTCGATCATAATCTCTGCTACTTTTGTGCACTTCTGCCGACTCAAAGTGTTTTTCTTCTGACTTGCGTAAGGTTTCGTTGTATATAATGGGGACCAGCTCGGCATCTACACCACACGAGGCCTGCAGGAATCGATACGGTTATCGGCGGTATCTTGTCTGTGCCGTTTCTGCAATTTTCTGGGTTTCGTGGGTAGTTGTCGGAGGAGCCCGCCAGTCCGACTTGACTCTCGAGTGTCTCACTAATTATGATGAAGGAGCCTTCAATTCGGCCTGATGATGATACATGGCCGGTCTGGGAAGCCTCGTTGTTGAGCTGTGCTGTTGAGGGAGATACACTGAGAAATAGGAGGGAAGGTAGTAGCAGGGATGCGGTGGTGCATGGTATTGCGCCCCTACAACTTGGGGAAGTTTCCTCCATGTCAGCCCACGTTGGGTCGTGTTCTTGTGCTATAGTCCTCAGAGGAGCTCATTCTAGTGCTCAAATCCTGGGTTAACCGCAATGGTGATACTCACACCAACTAACCGTCCAGGAAGGCTCCTTGCGACAGGTCGGAGCGCGGTTCATCATCCAAGATGTGTACTACTGCAGACTTGCAAATTTAGTAGAGCGTCTTTCCTTCAAGTGGTGATGCAGAAATGTATATGGTATTCTCTAATTGGTATGGAACATCCCAACGAAGGGTAAACTTGTTTATAGTAGCCTGAGTAGCTCGAGGTGCATATCGATAACTGGGCAGGGCTATTCCAAGCAGATTGAACGTGTGTTGGTACCCTTGGGAGCACCGCAACCGGTATTGTGGTATATGTTTGCTGAGCTTAGGAGTTTACACACGAATCCAGGTGGAAATAGGCGAAGACCAGCAAGAATTTCAGAAAATTTCCTCAGAATTCTCATATTGTCACCAACGTATGTGGTTGACCATGTGCATATATTCCCACACTGATGGCACACATCAGCATAGTAAAGTATGTGTCGGTGTTGCCATTGAAGACGTGGAACTTCTGATTATGCCCTGTGTTGCCTGGAAGTTGTCTCCTGGAGTTGCTGTTCATAGTTGGTTTTGTTCGCGGCAAATGTCAATGACGTCATCGTCCTCCTCCCCACTGCTATCAGCCTCCCCTTCCTCTGCTAGCACCTCTTCTCGGGCATTCCCTGATGATGAACAGCAGCAACCGTCGCCCGGCTCAGGGTCAGACCTCGGCGATGGCCAGTCTCGGATACTCATATCGGTAGTAAGGAAGAATCGGCGAAAAAGGAGTGGTAAGCCTCCGAGTTTCCATTACCTACTGGAGTCGTCGGTCCTGCATGCAGATGTGGATACGGCTACCTTCGTATTGGACAGTGGCGACAAGTTGGTACTTGAGGTTGATGGCGCTCATCGGACAGAACAAGCGACAGCTGAGAAGACCAAACGGACTAGGAGTAGTACTAGTTCTGTGATATGGTTTTACCTATGCTTTTCATACAGCACCAGCGAGCACGGTGAAGGAAGAGAGGTTGACTAAACGTAGCGGCGCGGCTACTCGGACGACTCAGAAGTCGAAAGCGCGGTAGTGTGATTTTGGGGAAGTCGAATGGTGACAGTGGTTATAGGCGAACACAACACTCGACGAAGCGGTGGTACCTCAATGATCTGCCGGAACTCGTCGAAGCAAGGTAAGAGGTTCTCATAGAAGGTATCGTAAAAAGTATCCTCCTTTTCACAGGCTAGTCATACATAGAGAGGATCCCAACGTGCCTGCTATACGTAAGAATGACTTCAAGATATGGACAGGCCAGCCCCTCCAGACGCAAATCATTGATGTCCTCAAACGAGGCCTGTAGGTTGACGTCAATGCTCGTTGGTATATGTATTCTTGTCGTCCTTGCAGTTACCGAGACATCTCCAGTTGGTACTGTGAGTTCGATAAGGATGGGGGTAAGGTGGTCTTATGTTGTTACTTTATGATGTATTGATTTCAGTTCGAGGGAAGCACGTTGACGGTTCCCAGGCTCCCCTCAATATCCCTGGATTCGAGCCCGGCATCACCATCGTCGTCAAGCCTGATCGGAAGCGTTGAACGGTGGCTTTTGACTGGTCGTCCAATTTGTACAGTGAAATGCCTGTTCGACGTAGGGCGGGTGCATTCCTTTGACTGGGAGTGGACTTCCCCGCTTCGTCGTAGCATCGATATTATTGCCCAATTGACTATGATACCATTGAACCATTATTTATCTCACCTCCGATGATACGGCTACTGAAGTGTACATCTTCTCTGACGGGTTACTCTCCGTCGTACGAATGTTGACGATATTTCCCCTGCTAACGTTCTCTGGAGTATGTTCGTGCTGCGTTCTCATAGTAGGCGTGTACGGGTCGCAATTGCATTGTCGGGCTTCGCTTAGCTATCTATTAAATTGACACTCTATGTCAAGCATTGAGATTTCCAAAAGTCAACAACTCTGCCGGTTAGGAACGTGCTAGATTTTAGCAGACGTTTGACCGGAGCATCTTAGTGCACCACTGTGGTACACCAAAATGTCTATGTCGTTGTCATAACCAGCCAACTCGATGTATCTTTTCACGCAGTATATGGTACCGTACCATTGGTACGTACTCAGTGATGGAGGAAACGCTCAAATGCAAGCCGTAGACTTTGGCTGGGCTAGCCCGCTCTTAATGGAGAGACCTTCAAAGGACTCACCAGCTCAGCAATAGGATCTTGCACTCTAGCTTGCGGACATTCGATTCGAATTCCGAGCGCCGGAATCGGTCGATCTCCTTACCAGATGATGTTGTTAGTCTAAGGTAGGAGGGAGATGAGTCAGAGTAGCCAACTGATGTTCACTACTCAACTATCAGTAATCTTGAGTTCGATTTTATCGTCGTGGGTTGGGCGTGCGCCAAAGTAAAAGCGAATTAAAATTTCAAGATGTCCCTGACAGGGACTCCCTGTTGGTGTTATTTAGCACACGAGCACCGTCCAACTAGTACGAGCTATTCAGAATGAATCACTATGGTCATCATGTGACTTTAGTAGTTTCCAATTTGCCTAAAAGGTCAACAGTTTGCTGGCTGTTTGGAAAAATGTGTACCAAATTTAGATCAGGAAATAGACACACCTAGTTGGGCGACTGAGAGTCGTTGGGGTCTATGATGGCGCCGCGGTTGCTCACCCGAACTTACAGATATGGTTGAACGAACCTTACCGGTGGCATTCAAGTTAGTCGCGACTCTCCGACCCACCACTTAAACTCCCCGCCCTTGAGTCGAGAACTCGACTCATCCACCCTTGGCTGCAAAACCGAATCATTGAGCTACGATGTGTAACCTACAGATCTCAAGAATAGCAACGAAAGAGATATGGAAGGAAGAGAGATCTACCCGAGTAGTTCAATGATACCTACGTACGGGCAACAGTGGGTGGGTTGAAAAGGAAAATTAAAGAAGCGTAGCAACGCTAACGACTGACAGAGTAAATCTCAGACCATCTCGTCGAGGTCGACCAGTCATCCTCTCAATATCTTTTAGTCTTGACACAACTCGATTTTGGATGAGTCGCTCGTCACTTGAACTCTTAAACATGTTTCCCATGCTTCTCCAAACATTGTCTATAATTTTTTCCACATGATATTCGATCGGCCCATAAGCGAAATTCTATGGTTCCCCCCAAGTGTAGTGTATAGTCATGGGCTCTTTAAATGTGGCCTCACATCCTGTCGGATGAGCGTGTCTATCGTCACCCTCGCACTATTCGCGCAACAGATATAGAGATGAAGACACTTGATACAGCAGAATGAAGATGTGAATTATGGCTTTGATCTCGCCTTAAAAGGCACAAGCATGTCTTGCGAGTAGCTCAGTCATAGTAATCCTTGCAAGGCTCACATTCGGGCGAAGTCGACTGTATGAATGGCGCGGCTGATAGATGGTCCAAAGCATATGGGATTGAGGGAACACATTGTCACTGTGAAAAACTGGGCGTTACTGTACAGTCATGATGATGAACATACCAGAGCGAATGGTCTAGGGAGACCTACGCAGAATGACCGCTTCGGCGAGGCTCCGAGCATATAACTGTTGATGAAATAGCACAACATTAGGACCACGGTCCCAGCTGTTAATAGGAGTGACTGAACGGCGATAGCAATAGCAGAATGGATAAAAACTGAAGGAAATAGTAAGCTCAGAGTGTGAGCACCAAACAGACCTACTGCTCCGAGAGGTGTTTCGATGCATATTGCCGCTCTTGCATGGGTTCACATTATCTGAACAGAGTCAAATTAGAAAGAAGTAGAAGGCCCTCGGTGCCGTCACCGAATTCGCTCAGGGTAAATGAAGTGGGAGACATGTCGTCGTGAATGTCTTTGCTACGCTCGTTCCAGGGGAGACCCCACCTCGTCTAAGACAGTGCAGTATTAAGCATCGACATCGCTTCTCATTTCACTTAAAGGCTGTCCTATTGAGGTTACCACCGCATAGTTGCCATGGTTCAATCCATTGATAATCTTGGCACTAGTTCAGGTCCCATCGCCATCTCATGAGCCACTACAACGCGGGACATAGTTCCATAACAGTAAGTAACTACATTTACATTATGGTCTCCTCATTCATTGTAGTATCTGTTTCGAAGCTAAGCAGAGGTCAATCACAGCGACCGAGCTACAGTCGTGCATAGTCCACTCCATTTCGAGCCGCCTCTCTTATCAGTGGCCCAAAACACAGGGGGTAGACCAAACACAGGCCGGCACTGATGAATTCTGATAGCGTATAAACCTAATCAGCCGGTGACCATACACAACCTATAGGGGAGTTCGCGTTACACAGTAAGGCCAATCAACTCGGACTCCCGGAATGAAGTCGTATACAAGCAAATAGCTGACGAGGAGAAGCATAGAGCCCAGCCCTAGAGAGACTATCTGACAGGTGGGATGAAGATAGTAGTAGTAGTAGTAGTAGTAGTAGTAGTAGTAGTAGTAGTAGTAGATTACCGTTAGGAGAGCTCCGCGAGGAAGCGCGTCCGCTCTTGCTGCTGCTATGGTGAAGCATACACAGGTAGCGCAGTCCGCGAGGAAGAAGGTTTGGGCGAAAAACGTGTGGACGGCGTTGGCGTAGTGTAGAGGAATAAGGGCCACAGCAGCTAGACAGATGGCATTGAAGAAGCCCAATAGGAGCCCAGCTCGGACCTGGCAGTGTGGTAAAATGTGCACATGGTTAACCACTTGTGTTGGTGACAATGTAAAGACTTTGAGGAAATTCCCATTAATTCCTATACATTCTACCCGAATTTGCATGTAAATTCGTCGACTCACGTCGACTGAGGAGAGCGAAAAAATATTCCAACACTGGGATCTGGGGTCAGAGCACTTCTGTTGACCTTCAACGCTAGCGCAGATCAATGGGTGTCTTTCCTACTGCAATGAGCGAGTTAGATCTGGGCAACCGCTGAGCTATGTAGACTGCCAATGTGGGCCACAGTATGAGCTGCCCGAGTGCAGTCATCGTCAT